AAGATCTGCGTGTGCTTCGCCAACGATGTAAACAGACTGATATTTTTTGGTGAAAATCTTCGTGTTTCTGCCACGATTCACCTTTCCATGCGATTGTCCGTTGGTGTTGTTGCTCCGATCGCGGCCATGCGTGTACAGATATGACGCGCCTATAGGTGAAATACGCGCGTATCAACAAGCAGCGTTTTCTTCGATGACACTGTCGTTGATCGGTGACGATTCCTGGGGCAACAGCTGAACATATCGCGAGGGGAAACGATACACGGACTTCTCCGATTGTCTCGATTTCACCGTCGATTCTCGTTCGTTCTATAAGGTTATAGATAAGAATTCTCCCGCGCTGTGGGACATGGGTGCGAAAGACGTAGAACGTTGAACGAGAAATGAAGTTAAGTGACCTTAAAGTGCGGAGATCGTGATTCTAACGAATGGCTTGAGTTTTTCTTTGCGATTGTGATGTTAATTCGCGCAGAAGGAAATTTGGGAAGAAGATCTTGAAGGAGTCAACTTTAGTTCTACTGTGCTATAATTTCATTGACAATGTTCCATAGCCTTTTGTTTCATTTTCTTCTTCCGCTTATTCTTTGTGTCTTTCTCTCCTTCTTTTCAGCATGCTGATTGCTTTCTTTTTTTATTTTTCAATTACGTTTCAATCGTACGCTATAATCTCTATCGTTATGAAATAATAACTTGCATCTGTTCTTACAGTGGTATCAGTGTGAGCGAAGCGTAATCCTTGTGCAAGGACAATGTAGGAACTGTTGGTAGAATGTGCCAAGTAAATATGGACACTCTGGTGAAAAATTTGATAGTTATGCATTAAGCATATTAGGGATATGCCTTGTACGATCAGGAAAGGACTGAATGAGTGAACAAAATTATAAGGAATGATATTCTCTTTGAGTCTATTGGATGTTAGATAAGCTAAAAAATGTCTGGTGATTCAGGATGGAATGCTGTTATTCACCATCCTTCAGAATTAGAATTACAGAATTGGAATTGGGAAGAAAACGATGGGGAGCAAGAAAGGGAGCTCCCTTCGACTGTTGATATGGATGCTATAAAAGGTGGTGGTAGTTGGGATCCGACTACTGAACCTAATGGTATTAATATGTTACATTAGTAGATTATGTAACTGTTCTTTGATGGTAATTTGTGTCTTGATAAGAATGTGCAGTACAAGAATTTCCTTTTTCTTTATTTCATGTTAGGAACAGATTCAGTTGATTCCGAAGAAGACTCAGATTCTGACGACGAAAGTTCTGGAGGTACGGAAGGTAGTTGTTCTTATTCAAATTCAGATTCGGACTCGGACGACGAAAGTAGTGGCGACGAGGAGGAGGATACGGGATCCAATTCAGATTGTACATCGGAACACAGCGAGCAAACATTTTCCATTCAAAAAACTAATTTTGAGCCGGTATGTAATTCTATAGTAGAATTTTATAATTTTCGTTAATACTTTAAACATCTGAGCACCAAAGGTCAACAAAATTTTCGATTATGTTGCAGGGAGCTCTTAAATTAAAAATCAGTATGAAAGGCCCGAAAAAGGAGGATCTGGAAAAGGAAAAAGGCAGAAGAAGCGTACCGAAAAAAGTCAAATCGAATCGCGGTGGAAAGGTAAGAATCAATTTGTTAAAATTTCAGTTGAGCTTCCTTTTTGTAGCGATATATTTTATGTGTGTTTTTCATTTAGTCGTCTGAATGCAGCAGTGACGATTCCGATTCCTCAGAAAGTCGCTTACCCTCACAACACATGCAGCAACAACAGCAACAAACGCAGCAATCCCAGCAGCAACAACAACCGCAACAACATCCACCGCTTCAAGAAATCAATCAGGAAGATCTGGCGGCAATTTTGCCAGATCAAGAACACGAAGATGCCCCGTTCGATGGATTTGAAGATTCAGAAAGCGGTCGGTTAGTATCGAAAGCTATCGAGCGGATGTCGCTCGGTGCAGATTCAGATACAAGCGAGAACGGTGATCAGAATCCTGTACCTGTGTATAGTTCCACTTTATTGCAACAATTTGTTGAAAAGACGGCTCTGTTATCCGAACCGAGGAAAAGGCGGAGTAAGTTAGGAAAGAAATTGAACGATTCGGAATATCCTTGTGTTTCGAATGTGTCTCCGGACTCGGGTATTCAATCGGTGGATAACAGTCCGTTGCATTTGGCAATCAGCCCCGTGAGTCCTCCAGCGCCGACACAATCGCCGGTGCAACCCGTTATCACAAAGCCAGCGGTGAACGTAGATCGCGTTTTATATCCACCTAAACGAAAGCCCGGTAGGCCGGCGAAAACAGTTTCCACGCAGCCTCGTGGCCCAGGTAGGCCAAGGTTGAAACCGGAGATTGTAGAAAAGATTGAGAAAATAGAAAAGACGGAAAAAACAGCGAAAAATGAACGAACCGAGAAGAAAGAACCTCCCGCTCCACAACCAACAAAAATCACGAAGGAAGAACCTCCTAAAAGAGGGAAAGCAAAGTCTGCGCCACAGAAAACTGTCGCATCTCGGGTAGACAAAGACGAAGAAAATAATTCGGCTAAAAAGTTGAAGGAGAAACCAGCTTGTCAGAAGAAACGAAGTTGCAACGTTGCTAAACAGTGTACACAAACGAGTAAAGTAACTGGAAAGAGGAATAACACCAGTTCCCCAGCGCGTATCAAGTGCCTAAGTAGAACTGTTACGAATAAGTACGGGAAGGAAGGAGTACAATGCAATGGTGGAACGTGTAAGAAAATGGGAAAGAATAAGTCCGGACCAGGGAACAAGACAACTTCGTTACGACGACAAAAGCAATCGACTTGCGAGCGAGTTTCGAATGATAGAAAAGTAATCAATTCGAATAAAAAGAGCCTGAAGGAGAATAGAAGCAACACCGTTCCCTTAGCTAAACGGCAGGCATCGTTGAAGAAGAACGTCGCGCCGGTTACGCGACGTGTGTTGAAAGAAAATAAAAGTAGTAAGAAAGCAGGCGCTGGGTTCGAGACGAACGGCGTTGGTGTTCAAACACTGATATCTTTACCCGTCGGTGAGGTATTAAAGGCCGAGAAAGTTGAAAATGTAACCAATAAATGCGACAAGGCGACGCAACCTATACACAATCATTGTCACAAACATCATCATCACAAGCATCGAAGACGATTACTATTGCCACCTAAGAATCCTATACGCATACATCCATGTCTCATACAAGAGTTAGAAAAATTGATCGATGAATTTTCCAGATTGTGCAGCTTAGGTAGGAACAATTCAAGCTCCGGTTATTCCGAGTTACCTCAGATTTTTCGCGTGAAAAAACTAACGAAGAAAAGGAAAGGAGGTGATGTTACCGCGAACGATGATCAGAAACTAAAAAGACGTCTCAAGAAAGAGAAGATACTGTCCGGGACGGATTCGAAGAACAGTATGAATGCAAATGCGAACTCGAATCCAAATGAGCAAAGGTTACCGTTAAAGAAGAGACATTATCACGTATCCAGCCCTCATAGTTCACAAAGTTCGAATGCAAGCGGCACCGACGTGGCTGTCAATGAAGCGAACTCTACCGAGAGTCACATCGAAGAGGCAATCGAAGCTACTATAACGAGATACGGAGGTAGCTCTGCATTCTCCTTCCAAGAAGATTCCGTACCTGTTACTCCTAAGAAAAGACACAGGGATACCGAAGCTGGAAGCCCTGATAAGTCGAGCGCAGCGTCTTCCGATTTGTTGGAAGAGAAACCGTTGAGTCAGATAGAAGTGCAACCGCGTCGTAAAAAGAAAATCGTCAAAGATCTTCGCGTGACAGTCACGAAATTACCTGTCGAGAGTCACGGCGCGTTGGAGAAAGCCGAGAAGGACAAGGACAAGGCTGAGAAAGCTGATAGCAAAGCTGACAAATCAGAGAAATCCTCGAGTGATTCCAGAAGTGTGAAAAGTCGCGCGGAAAAGAGCAGCAGGGGCGAGAAAGTGGCCACGGAGAAATTAATAAAAAACGATAAAAATCAAGCGGACAAGATTGAGAAACGAGATATGTCGCCGGATCATGTACGTTTGGAGAAGAATATAAAAATCGACGCGGCGGAATTTAACGCAGTGGAGAGTTTTGATGAAAATGATACAGCGAACGAGACTAAACCGTCACAAAATAGTCTCAATCCAAATGTACCAAATCCGTTGAATTCCGCCGCTGTATTGGTTTTGACCAAGAAGAAGATGAGACGGCGTAAAGCCATAAATCGTACAGGCTTCCCGACGCTGAAGAAGAAGAAAAAGAGATCCTTGAACGCAAACGAGACGTCGACGGATACGTCGAGAACCGTAGCTTCGACCAACGAAGATGGCACCGAGGCTGATGGCGAGAGTTCAACGAAAGAAGGAATCGAGGATTCAGTAGTAGATAGCAAAACGAGCGTATTGAACAACACCGAGATACAAGATGCATTTACCGAAGAGTCCTCGACTAAACACAGCAACAACAATCTTCCGCAAAATCGCGTTCAATCGAAAGCTGATCCGACTGCAAATCCAGATTCTAATTCACCAAAGTCAGAGACGAATGGCCACGTTCGTTCTGACGAAACTGTTGAACCTCGATCTGGCCAATTAAGAGTCCGTAAGGATCTAGTAGAAATAGACAGCGACAATGCACTGAGCAAATTATGCCCCGTTAAATTTGAGAAGATACAAGATTCCAGATCGTACGACGAAAATGCATCCTTGGAAGAGTCCATCGAGCGATTCACTGCGAATCAACGTGTTGCTGAATTAAGCGAAGAGAATGTAAAGAGGCTCGAACGCGCAAACTCTCAAACGAACATCAAAACTGAACATTCGAGCTCTTTTAATGGTAATCAGAAGAAACGACGGGGTTCTTCGAGCCCCTGTAATTTGACTCCTAGAAATATGAAGAGATTGCGTAGCTCTGGTTATGACACGGAAAATGACATTCTACCTAGCAACGACATTCTCAACGATGATCACGAGGTGGGGAAACACTCGAGCTCGACACATACGAGAAAGAAGCAATCTCGGTGGAAGAAACGTTATTTACAGGGGGGCATTTTGCAAGAATATGGCAAAGACTTTGAAGGGAAAACGCGTGGTAGCATCGAAAATAGTAATGCCATTGGAAGGAATAAGGTTATATGCGAAACAAATGAATCTCCATCTGCTGCGTTATTATCCGCTACGTATCAATGTGGCAAGTTTTTACGACAAAGAAAAATGCCGTTTCAGTTGCCATATGATTTATGGTGGCTACATACACAATCTAGACTACCTGGCAGAGAGTCAGTTCCATCGTGGAATTACAAGTAAGCGTACAGTTTCTGCATTGTCGAATGTCGAATCGTGTCATGAAACTAATCATTCTATTCTTTTTTATAGGAAAATTCGTACTAACGTGTATTACGACGTCAAGCCCACTACACTTTACGAAGCGCAAGCTTGCGAATGTAAACCAGAAAGCGGCTGCGGGGATGATTGTATCAATCGCATGGTTTTCAGCGAATGTTCTCCACAGCTTTGCCCCTGTGGCGATAAGTGTGAAAATCAGAAAATACAGAAACACGAATGGGCACCGGGTTTGCAAAAATTCATGACAGAGGATAAAGGTTGGGGTGTAAGGACTCAACAGGCTATCAAGTCTGGTGTCTTTATCCTTGAATATGTTGGAGAAGTAGTGTCCGAAAGAGAATTCAAGTCAAGAATGGCGACCAGGTACATTAAGAGCATATGTATGAAAATTTCGTACAGATATATGAAAAATCCAAATTTATATTCTTTCGTTTATTGTAATGTAGGTATGCCAATGACACACATCACTATTGTCTGCATCTCGATGGAGGTTTGGTAATTGATGGTCATCGTATGGGTGGTGATGGAAGATTCGTAAATCATTCTTGTGAACCTAATTGCGAGATGCAAAAGTGGAGCGTTCACGGTCTTCCACGAATGGCGTTGTTCGCTTCTAGAGACATTAAATCAGGAGAAGAACTGACATATGATTATAACTTTGCACTTTTTAATCCATCTGAGGGACAAGAATGCAGATGCGGTAGTAGTGCTTGTAGAGGAGTGATTGGTAATGAATGACAAATATTTTATGCACTAATCCTTCTTTTTCTGCAATTTATTCACTGCAGTAAGTATTTTATGTTTTATTTTTCACAGGTGGAAAAAGTCAAAGGGTCTCAAAAAGCATTACTTCCATTCCATCGCAATTAGAACCCACAGAGAGGCGATCGGTTGGAAGACCAAGGAAGAATGTAAGAAAATCTAACACAGTGCAGTCTGTGAACTCGAAAGGCATTTGTAAATCTCGAAAAGTTGGCGATTCCAGTTTGATTCACGCGCCTGTGCTAAAACCTATGTCTCATCAGCAACGATGCTTTGCTCAGCAACATCATTGCTTCTTGTTAAGAAATTTAGAAAAAGTCAGACGAGTTAAATTGTTGGTAAATCAAGTACAAATGCAAAATGGCAAAGTGAAATGTGGTAACGCAATAAATATAAAAGAAAAAAGTTCAGGAGACGCTAAAATTCAATCTGACGCATTCTTCTCACAATTAACTGCTTTGACTAATACAAATACCCGAACCGTACGAACTCGACGTTTAGCTCAAGCTCAAGATGACCCAGAAGTGCATAAAACTGCAAAATTGGCCAAGGTAGGACACGTTTGCGTCTTTTGATTCAGAATTCATTATTTTTTTTTTTTTTTTTACGTTTATTCATTCACGATTAATCTTTAGGTATT